TTTAGTTAAAATTCTGTAGGTCTAGGCCTATTGCCCATCTAGGCCCTAGCCTACCTAGGCTTGACGGTATTCGGCTTGACTAGGCTAGTCATAGGCCGCCTAGGCCTAGAGGCCTGTACTACGACTCAAAAGGCTAATTATGTAGGGCCAGGGAGGGCATGGCCCTCTAGCTAGCAGCCTCTAGACTAAACCTAGGCCCTATGTAGTCTGGTAAATGCAGTCTTGGGGTCCAGCCTAGCCTTGGTAGGGCCAAATAGGATTAGCCGCCTTCTTCCTATTGGCAAGGCTTAAATAAGCCCTCTAGCCTAGTACTAGGGCCAGCCACCCACTAGGGTCAGTACTAGGGAACATTTTTTGAATGAGTATTAATTATGACGAGTATTTCCTGCAAACGCTAGGCTAGTAGTTTTAAACCAACTTATTGTTTTTGTCTGTGTCTTATTGTTTCGGAATCAATCCTATGCTAGGGCTAGGCCAAAGTAAAATAACATATTGTTTATCACAATTTTATGTCATTTATAAGACAAAGGTGGCTTATTATTTTCACTAAAATAAATTATTATTTCCAGGGCTTGTGTGTAGAAAATATCAACAGTTCTATGCAAAAGGCCTATTTTTCAAAAGCCTTATAATTATTAAATATTTTTGTTATAAAATATATGATTTTTTTTTTTTTTTTTTCAGCATGCATAGTTCTTGGAAAAATTGATCATATCAACATGGCAAGTAATGCAGATGCAAACGAGTATACGCAATCATCTCTACTAGAACCTGACACTGCTGATAAACAATGGGAGGATAGTGTAGATGTTTACCAAATTGATGAGCAGTTTGATAGCAAAGATTTGGATGAGGGTTTTGATCTTGGTGATGAAATTGAAGAAGAAATTGTTGAAGGGCTGAATGCTGAAATCCAAGATGAGAGTTGTTCAGAATTAAAAGCAAAACAGGAAAGTGGTGCAGATGAAGACAGTATTTATAATTTTTTAGATGATGAAGGGGAAAATAAGATTCCCATAGATGGCAAAGCTGAAGACAAAAACTTGGAATCTGAAGAAATATTTGAAGAAATTGAAGAGTGGGAAGAAGTAACAGAAGAAGAAGGTTTGTATTTATATATCAGTGAAAATTTAATGAAAAAACTAAATTTATACAAAAAAAATACTAGAATCTGCGTACTGTATTCTAGAAGGATGCTTTCATTATCCTAAATGTGATTTCTGAGGTTGGAACACTAGTCCAGACTTCATGATTACACTCTGTACGGTATGTCGATACAACACTAATATTCGACACACATCTTTTATTTATTTATTTTATTTTATTCAAATTCAGCTCACAACATAAATTAAACAATAGTAAGGAAGGTGGAGGAAATTAGGTGAAAGTACACCTATATTAGTTCAACCAACTGAACATAATATCACAAACATTACAATAAAAGTCAACAAAAAAATATCTATACACATAATTAAGATAGAATATATCACAATCTGGTATAAAACAACAATTTAATTTACACAATATCTGCAGTATATGTAATTCTGTAATAGAGTAACAAGTAACTACAGTAAAAACTAATGTGAAACAGAGATCATTGTGATACACCCACAAGACAAGATCTCCAAAGGGATACATTTTATATAAGGAATGTGAAGATATAAAGTCTAAATCTCCTTGCAGTAATGGTACTTATATTGCAGTGGGTAAAGAAAAGAAATCTACAAATTTAAAAAGATTGACCCAACCCAACCAGGATTCAAATGTGGGACCTTCTGCTGTCTATGCAGATACTGTACCTTCCAATTTGACCAACGAAATTATATTTGCAATATGTTGATTGATTTAATATTCAATTTGTATTCTGTGCACTTGCTTATAACATTTGAATTGATGTACAGTATGTGCAACATATCTAGACATCAATTAAAATTATTTGGTGTTCTCTAGTGAAAACCAAGAAAAAAATGTATGCAAGGACATAAGATGGAAGATACTGTTTTTGGATAGAATCAGTTTTTTCAAATTAATTTAATCTTGAAATTTATACTAAAATAACGTTTTGTGTTTTTTCCTCTCCACAAAATATCCCCGAAAGTATTTCAAGTACAATTATGATTTACATATGTTGTAGCTACCACCAACTTGATGAACATCTGCTACATTAGGACTCGATTTTGTTATCCTACATGTGTTTTTTTGGCAAAATTAACACATTTGTTTGCTGATTACTTCCAAATCTCATAACTGTTGTGACATCATTGTGCCATGCACCTGATCTAATATGCATGTTAGAAGTCCCACATGCTTACATTCATAGCCATATATATTCAAACAAAATACCACAACACCGCATCCAAACAACGAACATGTCGGAGTTAACACGTTATTACATAGGGAAATGAGCTTTCCCGACTTCTGAGATGGCTTTTAAGTTCTTCAATATTCAATAAATGGTCAGGTAAACTTTCTCATTCTTATTACAGCACAGTAAGAAGGCCTATTATGTGTGTATACATACATAGAAAAATTGAGTAGTTGCAAACATATTGTTTTTTCCATTAATCGATAAACCTCTTAAGAAAAAAGGGGGTCGGGTCAATGGATTTATTCGGTGTAAACACCAAGGATAACCCACGAAAGTCTAGTAAGACTTATTTCCAGTGGGGTCCTTCTGGTGGTGATTGGGCAGTACATTGGGAGACAATCCCCTACTCTTTTCCGAAGAGTGCACTGCGTTCTTTACAGTGCACACGGGCCAATAATGCACACAGGACCAATGGTTTAAACTTCTCTTTCGAAAGAAGGTGTGCTAGAGTAACTTGCATTTCAGCACTTCAGCTGAAAAAAGGAGACCAGCGATAGGAATTGAACCGGGGACATAGAGAGCTCCACGGTTTAGCGCACACACAGTGGCTACCACCAGTTTAGCTGACTGGCTAAGCTGTTCCCTCCCCGGGAAAATTTTGATTCCTAGATGGCGGGAAATGAGCTTTCTTGACTTCTGAAGTGTCTAAAAGTTCTTCAAAATTCATGGTTTTCCCCTCTTGAAAATGGTCAGGTAAATTTTTCTCATTCTTATTACAGTAAATAGGCCTGTTATGTGTGTACCGGTATACATACAGAAAAAAAATGAGTAGTTGCATACATGTTATTTTTTTCCAAAAAGAAAGGGGCTCTGGAGTTCTCCCCCAGGAAAATTTTGAGTTGTAGATGGCGGGAAATGAACTTTCCCGACATCTGATTTTCCCATTGTAACAAAAAATATTTCAGCTCACAGGCACTGAATTTTTTTTTTTTAATGATTTTTAATTTTTTTTTTTTTTTTGGCCAAGGTGTGGGTGTCAGTGCATCCCATTCAACTATATACATCGCCACTTCTCCCCACTATTTGAACACTGTGTGAAGCACGGGTATATGCCAATTGACACATACAACTACAGTACTAGTTCTGAAAACTCAGTTGTCTAATATTCCTGTTTTAAAAGGCTAGGTGATAAGTATTGATGTTACAGTTGATAGTAATTGTTATTGTTGTGATGGAATAATAGACAATAACTGGATTTGCGTCCGGAGAAACATGTATAGGTGTAATTTTTGCCCTACCTGATGTGGAAATGTACCGAATACTCAGTACATTTAAAAACAACTGCGAAAAAAATCGCAAGTTGTTCTCGGGTGGAACTTGAACCCACGATCTCCAGATCACTAGCCTGGCATCATACCTCTAGACCACCGAGCTTGTGCCTGATGGCCAGGGTTGAATTCGAGTCCAAGTAAGCAGCGGGTACTGCAGTGTTGATAGTAATTGTATTGTCGTGATGGAATAATAGACAATAACTGGATTTGCGTCAGGAGAAACATGTATAGGTGTAATTTTTGCCCTACCTGACGTGGAAATGTACCGAATACTCAGTACATTTGAAAACAACTGCGAAAAAAATCGCAAGTTGTTCTCGGGTGGGACTCGAACCCACAACCTCCAGATCACTAGCCTGGTATCATACCTCTAGACCACCGAGCTTGCACCTGATGGCCAGGGTTGAATATGAGTCCAATTAAGCAGCGGGTATTGCAGTGTTGATAGTAATTGTTATTGTCGTGATGGAATAATAGACAATAACTGGATTTGCGTCAGGAGAAACATGTATACTGTAGGTGTAATTTTTGCCCTACCTGACGTGGAAATGTACCGAATACCCAGTACATTTGAAAACAACTGCGAAAAAAATCGCAAGTTGTTCTCGGGTGGGACTCGAACCCACGATCTCCAGATCACTAGCCTGGCATCATACCTCTAGACCACCGAGCTTGCGCCTAATGGCCAGGGTTGAATTCGAGTCCCAAGTAAGCAGCGGGTGACTGCAGTGTTGATAGTGATTGTTATTGTCGTGATGGAATAATAGACAATAACTGGATTTGCGTCAGGAGAAACATGTATAGGTGTAATTTTTTGCCCTACCTGACGTGGAAATAGCACTGCAGTGTTGATGTTACAGTTGCAATATTTTTACTGTACTGTATAATAATTATGTTGCAAATAAAAACATTATGTTTTAAATTATTAACAAATATGATGTATAGCAGCGCAAGTATGCTAATGCTTATCCAGTGTGCATGTTTTAGACATGGTACAGAAATCTAAACTTTATTATCTGGTTACCTTTCTTTCATACAGAAGTAAGTGATAATGAAGATACTGAAGAAGGTAAAAAAACCAATCTGTCATTTCTTGCTTGATTCTCTTCTTTTTTTTTTTGTTGGGGTTTTTTTTAATTAATGTTTTTGAACATGCCTACACTGTATATGGTTAACAGACCATCATAATAATAAAAGGGTTACATATTAGAACAAAAACGTGATACAAATGTTTTTGCACCATTCACGAATTACAGTGTAGGATACAATTGGTCTGTGTACTTAAGTCTAATTATGATGAGCCCAAATGAGCTTGCTATTAAAAGGAAGTATCTTTTCCTAAAATCTACAGTACCCTACACGAATACTGTAATGCATGATACTGCATGTTCCTGAGTAGTTTAAGCTATGCAATTCAGTTGCATACTGTAGCTTAAACTATATTACTTTTTAATTTACAATAAAGATGAATCTGATGATGAGGATGGTGATGAAGAGGAAGATGGTGCTGAAGAAGGCATGTCAACTAAAGGTCAAATTCAACTAGGAGCATGTGCACATGAAAGTGATGAAGATCTTGAGAACTGCTACATATGCTTAACTGGTATTCGTGATCAAGACTTAGGAACACCAGAAAGCTGTGATCACACTTTCTGTTTGGAGTGCATACTAGAATGGTCTAAGGTACAAATTCAAGTCACACAACAAAAATATAAATATAATGACATAAAGCTGCTTTACATGCATTTATTAACAGATCACCGGTATTTAAGCTTTTATTTATTATTGGTACTATCTTGGTAAATCTTGACACTGCAGTGGTTAAAAAATAATATTTTGTAATACTTATGAAAATTCTAATTTTTATCCCATTTTAGCATGTAAACACATGTCCTGTGGATCGTACTTTGTTTCACTGCATATTAGTGCGCTACACACTTGGTGGTCAGATTGAACGTACCATTCAGGTGGAGACGTGTAATAAACAGGAGGAAGAACAAGAAGATTCTGTCACATACTGTGAGGTTTGTGGCTGTTGTGATCGTGAAGACAGACTTCTACTGTGTGATGGCTGTGATAATGGATATCACTGCGAATGTCTAGATCCACCCCTGGAGTTCATACCTATTGAAGAATGGTACTGTCCTGAGTGTGCAACTGTTGAACAATCTGTTGTACAACAAGGTGTGTAACCTATTAGTTTACCTAAACTTTTGATTTGTTTACTGCTCTCCTATGACTGTAAACATTACCAATTTTATTGTAAAGATATATTCTGAAGAAGTGACTTCACTCCATGTGGCCCAATTCATTGTGATCACTTCTCTGTACTACCACTTGTAGCGTACTCTTGTGGCACCATTTCTTGAACTGTAGCCCTACTCTGGATCCAACTGCTAGTTCAAATGCCTGCTTCTTGACTGTCAAGATCAATGTGTAATTTCCTCCTCCCCAGCAACAGTTTTGTACGTCTTTAATGCTTCTTGAAGAGCTTTCTGGGCTGGAGTCTATGTTATTACTTTATTATGTGATGATTATTATCATCATTGTCGACATAATTATTATTATTTTGTCATTGTTACAATATTTTTTAAGTACTGTAAAGTTGTTAATTTTTTTTTTCAGATGATGAGGAAGATAATTGTGAAGATATTACAAAGGAAGAAAAACCAGAGACCCATCAACGGAGAAGTGTTGCCAAGGATAACCGACCTTCACAATCCCTCCGAGCTACACGTGCTATTGCTCGCACGCAAGTCAGTGAACGTGTCATGGCCCGAATAAGTGAAGTTCGAGCCAAAAGACAGCTTGAACAAGACAGTGTTAGGGTAAATAAATTTTAAAAATATGTAATTGTTTATTGCAATTATTATATTTTGTGATTGTATCAAAACAAGCATTTGTAATAATTATAATTAAAGTTGGGTAACAATAATATAAAATTATATTTTTTAATTTTTATTCTTTAGGCTAGCAGCTCTGTATTTTCGAAAAAGTACACACCAAAAAAAAGTACCAAAAAACGAAAGAAGAAAAGGAAAAGAGTGAAAAGTAAAGTCAAAGGTAGAAAAGTCAAAGGTAAAAAAGTAAAGAAAAAGGTGAAAGCAACTAGACCAGCAACAGTGAAAACAAGAATTGCAGGCAAGTTAGGTCTTGTTAAAGCCAGATCAGGAAGTCTGTTGCCTGATCGGAAAGCACACCTGGAACCGAGCTTAGATAATCAACGGGCTGGTATTGGTGCCGCCAAACTCAACATATTTGGTGGGAATGACCTTACAGAAATTAGGTTAGTCATAAAACATTACTCCTTGATTTTATGGGGACAGTTAAAGCAGCTTTTGTATATCAAATTCTGAATTTTTGAGGTCATGTGTGGATGCACAGTACATTGTACTGTATTCCAGTGGAATAATCCCTACGAACTAAAGAAGGTTGCATGTTGTGTGGGTTTGTTAATATGGGTTGACTGACCACCACATTATCAACATTCCACAATTTGACCACAGGGCCCCAGGTAGGAAAGTGAGCCTCTTAACCACCAAGCTACACCTCCATTTTATCAATATTGCATGAATTGACCCCAGGCCCCCCAGGTGGGACATTGAGCCTCTTAACCACCAAGCTACACCTCCACTTTATCAATATTGCATGAATTGACCCCAGGCCCCCAGGTGGAAAAGTGAGCCTCTTAACCACCAAGCTACACCTCCATTTTATCAATATTGCATGAATTGACCCCAGGCCCCTAGGAGGGAAAGTGAGCCTCTTAACCACCCAGCTACACCTCCACTTTACCAATATTGCATGGTTTGACCCCAGGCCCCCAGGTGGGAACGTGAGCCTCTTAACCACCAAGCTACACCTCCACTTTACCAATATGGCATGAATTGACCCCAGGCCCCCAGGTGGGAAAGTGAGCCTCTTAACCACCAAGCTACACCTCCACTTTATCAATATTGCATGAATTGACCCCAGGCCCCAGGTGGGAGAGTGAGCCTCTTAACCACCAACCTACACCTCCATTTTACCAATATTGCATGAATTGACCCCAGGCCCCTAGGAGGGAAAGTGAGCCTCTTAACCACCAAGCTACACCTCCACTTTACCAATATTGCATGAATTGACTTCAGGCCCCCAGGTGGGAAAGTGAGCCTCTTAACCACCAAGCTACACCTCCACTTTATCAATATTGCATGAATTGACCCCAGGCCCCCAGGTGGGAAAGTGAGCCTCTTAACCACCAAGCTACACCTCCATTTTATCAATATTGCATGAATTGACCCCAGGCCCCTAGGAGGGAAAGTGAGCCTCTTAACCACCAAGCTACACCTCCACTTTACCAATATTGCATGGTTTGACCCCAGGCCCCCAGGTGGGAAAGTGAGCCTCTTAACCACCAAGCTACACCTCCATTTTATCAATATTGTATGAATTGGCTCCAGGCCCCCAGGTGGGAAAGTGAGCCTCTTAACCACCAAGGTACACCTCCACTTTATCAATATTGCATGATTTGACCCCAGGCCCCTAGGAGGGGAAGTGAGCCTCTTAACCACAAAGCTACACCTCCACTTTATCAACATTGCATGGTTTGAATCAAGGGCCCTAGGATTGGTAGGGAAATGTCTTCTAATTTCAGGACTTAAATATAAATTTCTAAAT